AAAATATTATTGTAAATATAAATTCGTTATCCATAAGCCTCCCTCCCCCCAAAAAACCCTCACAACACTGGAGGATTTACATCAAATTATCCTCTATTCGACACGGCAAGACCATCTTTCATAAGGAAATCTATACAGGCATTTTTTCAGTTGCCTAATTAAAATGATTATAGAGACATTTACCTAATCTTGTCTTCCTGATTCACAACTTCCTGAAAGCTGTGGTTTGATTTTAGTTGAAATACTCAGGTGGTTGTTCAAAACTTTATTTTTTATTTTAAGAATGAGAAAACCAATATGTTATTTCAACAAAAAATTAAGATGATCCTAGAGCCTCTATGTTAACTTGTATGTACATATGCATGACCAGGAGACACAGACAATGGGGCAATAAGGGCTAGGGGTGAAGGGATGGGAGAGGGCTAGAAGAGGTTAATGGGGAAAAAAGAGAAACTATGTAATACTTTCAACAATAAAGATTTTTTTAAAAATCTCAATCTTCCTTTTCCATTGCAATCAATAGAAATCACCCTTCAAAAAAAGACGAAAGATGATAATGGCAGTCACATTTACATTTGAAGATTTTTTTTGTTGTTTTTTTTGTGTGTGGTTGATAGTTCGTTGGAGGCAAAACAGGTTCAAACACAAGCTTCCTTTTAAAAAAATATATTTCATTTATTGATTTCAGAGAGGAAGGGAGGAGAGAGAGATAGAAACATCAATGATGAGAAAGAATCATTGATCGGGTGCCTCACCCCCGTCTGGGGATCGAGCCTGCAACCCAGGCATGTGCTGTTGGCCGGAATCTAACCTGGGACCCTTCAGGCCCCAGGCTGATGCTCTATCCACTGAGCCAATCCGACTAGGACAAGCTTCATCTCTCTTTGACGCTGGTGTTTTGTGAAGGTGGGGATGCTTAGTCTCTGAGCCTGTTTCTCTGTCCCTAGCCCTCTGCTGGTTTTGGACTATACTTAGAGCTTTACAGAAGTTCCCACTATCCAAGTGTTGTACATTTTCATTGTCTCACTTCCCCTCCTGTTAAAGTAGACAATCTCGCTAAGAAAATACAGTTGTCATTTAGAGTGTTACTCCTTAGTATGTTTAATTCTATACATGTATAGAGGTTATCAAGCCAGAGGACAATGCTTACATCTAAATTTTAATTCAGCAAACATGTCATCCAAGCCACCATAAACAATCAGGCAAGAGCAATAAGACTTCAAGAAAAAGTATTTGGATATTTATCAATTTTAGAAATTTCATTTACAACAATTATTATAAGTTTGAATTTAATGTATTTTGGTCATTTAATTTTATTATTTACATTGATCTAAATGATATCCAAATCTCCCCCTATTTCCTAGTATAATCATTTTAGCTACTTAATATTTTATGAGATTGGCACATATCATCACAAGATAATCTTTATAGAAAAACTTCAGGACAGATGAAAAACATCATGTTGCTCACATAAGATTTTATATAAATAATATTGTATCAATATTATGACATAGTCTAGTTTACACAGTACTTTTAAACACATTATTTTATTTGGTACAACTCCATGAAGGTGGCTATCCCAAATTAACATATAAGGTAGTGGAGACACAGGACTTTCCAGCTCACACTATAAAAGTAACTCTGGACTCTCAGTTCTGTTCCATTGGTCTGTGTGTTTGTTTTTCTGCCAATACCATGCTGTAATGGGACTATATCAAACTAAAAAGCTTTGTCTGCATAGCAAAGGAAACTGCCAACGAAACAAAAAGGCAACCAACCTAATGGGAGAAGATATTTGCAAACAATAGTTCTGACAAGGGGTTAATATTCAAAATATATAAAGAACTCATACAAATCAACACCAAGCAAACAAACAACCCAATTATAAAATGCACAGACAACTTGAACAGACACTTCTCCCAAGAAGACATACAAATGGGAAACAGATATGTGAAAAGATACTCAACCTCACTAGCCTTTAGGGAAATGCAAATCGAAACTATAATGAGATACCACCTAACACCTGTTAGAATGGCTATTATCAACAAGACAAGTAATAAAAAGTGTTGGAGAGATTGTGGAGAAAAAGGAACCCTCATTCGCTGCTGATGGGAATGAAAACTGGTAGAGCCACTACGGAAAACAGTATGGAGGTTCCTCAAAAAATTAAGAGTAGAGTTACTATATGTCCTAGCAACCCCTCTTCTGGATATATACCTGAAAAATTAGAAAATATTTATTTGCAAAGACATATGCACCCTTATGTACACTGCAGCATTATTCATGGTGGCCAAAACATGGAAATAAACTGAAATTTCTTTCAATAGATGATTGGATAAAGAAGATGTGGTAGATATATGCAATGGGATACTATTCAACCATAAGAAAAGATGAAATACTGCCTTTGAGACAACATGCATGGACCTTGAGAAATAAGTCAGACAGAAATCACTACGAACCATATGATTTTGCTCATATGTGGGATATAAAACTGAAAACAACAAATGAACAAACAAGAAAAATAAACAAAGACTCATAGACACACACAATAGTATGGTGGTTACCAAAGGGAAGCGGGTGGAAGGTAGTAAAGGGTACAGGGGTTTAAATATATGGTAATGGAAGATGATTTCACTTTGGGTGGGAGGCACACAATACAATATACAGATCATGTATCATAGAAATGCACATTTGAAACCTATATGAGTTTATTAACCAGTCACCCCAATGAATTTAATTAAAAAAAAAGTGAAGGCTTTGGTTCTAAAATGAGTTTTCAAAGAAGCCCCCTCCACCACCTCCATCATACCTCACTGGCTGCAGGAGCCCTAAGTCCTACGGACTATAGAAGCCCAACGTGTCTATTGCAATAACCCAAAGGGCATGTATAAACAGGAGGTGCTAAGAGGTCCTCAAATCAAATCGCCACTCTCCCCGCTCGCCCAGTCACTTGTTCCCAGAAAAACAAGCCATCTCCTGGAGCTGTCCTTCTGCTTCTGGAAGATGTATGGGTACATTGATTCATCCACCAAAGAAATATTTATATAGCACTTATGATGTGTCATTCACTTTCTGAGCCACAAAAAATGCAGCCATAAACAAGACAGACTCACCTTCTGCCCTGATAGACCTGAAATATCTAGTGGTGAGGATGAAAATGTATCAGGCGATTCCACCATGGGGGTAAGTGTAGAGATGAGCAGTCCAGGGCGCTAAAAGGAAACTACAAGAGAGGGGAACTGACCCTGACAGTGAGGTTGGAGGAAGTGGTCTGAGTGGAGACATAAACAACAAGAAGGCATTGGTCAACTAAAATAGTGAGGTGGGAAGAGGGGAAAGAGGGAACCACATGTGCAAAGACCCAGAGGCTAGAGATAGCGTGATGAATTTGAGGAATTGGCAGTTTAGTATGGTTAAATTATGAAAGCTGAGATCATTACCAGTCACAAAAAGAAGTCTGGACTTTATCTTGACAATGAAAGGAGCCAAAAAGGGTTATAAACAGAGGACTGTTATATGAAGATCAAGGAAACTATTGAAGTAATCTAGCTGAATGATAATAGGGTGGTCTAACTAGGTAGTGGCAGGGGGGAAACAATGAAAATGGATGCAAGAGAGCCTTAGAATGTAGACCCATAGACCTGACAATTGATTGGATGTGGGTGATAAGAGAGAGGGAAGAATCAAGGTTTAATTACAATAGGATGAGGGCCCCCAAGTTCTTCAGCCTGGAGTGCCTGCAGGGAAGTAAGGCACTGGCCAGGTATATGAAGTATACAGATCATTAAAATACATAATATAGATTGTGAACCCTGAGAAAGAAGACACCTATTAAGAAGGGCTTCTGGTGGCTAATGAGATCAAATTTTAAAAAAGAGTCTAGCAGCCATTTCTATACAAGGGCTTCTCACACAAACTGCACTTCAGGGAGAAGTTTGCACTGAACTACCTGCCTCTGCACTGAAGTGCCTGCTTGCACTGTGTTTCTGCTATCAGTGCCAGCCCTTATAAAAAAAGTTCCTGCGATCTTATTTCAACCAACAGAGGCCCAGTGCACAACATTCATGCACGGGGGGCAGGGAGAGGTCCCTCAGCCCAGCCTGTGCTCTCTCGCAGTCCAGGATCCCTCAGGGGATGTCTGCCTGCTGGCTTAGGCCCACTCCCCACACTGTCCTTAACGCTACCTTGGAGGCTCTCACCAGCCGTGAGTCCGGCTTCTGGCTGAGTGGTGCTCCCCCTGTGGGAGTGCACTGGCCACCAGGGGGCAGCTCTGTGTTGAGCATCTGCCCCCTGGTGGTCAATGCGCATCATAGCGACTGGTCATTCCGCCATTTGGTCAATTTGCATATTAGCCTTTTATTATATAGGATAGGACTGAAGCGTACCCCAACAAATTGGAGCTGTGCCGCTCTGACCAACCAGAGTGGCCCTATTCTGCCCAAGCAGGACAATGCCTTTTAGATCAATCAAACTGCAGGGATAAGGTATCCTCATTTGCATGAGGACAGACCAATCAGGGACTAGGGGCAGAGACTTCTGTCCTTATAAGCCAGCTCCTCTGTGGCTCTGAAAGTGCTCATTCTCTTACCACCAAAGACTGAAGACGGGGTAGAAACTGAATTAGCCAGAGCAAACCAAAGCACAGTGGAGCAGACCAGCACAGCAGTGAGCAGACCAGCAAGGAGCAGGGCAGACCTGTCTAGCTGGAGAGGGCCTGGCTCCAGGGCTGCCTCAGAGCCCTGCTATTCTCATAGCCGTGTTGTATCACAGTTGAGCCCTTTTGCACTGAATAAAGTTTCCTTCTTCACTGCACCCCAAATTTGGGATTCCTGTTGGAATTGAATTGGTGCCAATGGCCATCAGTTGACAAGATCCATGCAATTTGTCTTACAGGACCCTCAGAGGGTGGACATAGCCAAGGGGCAGAGGCAAAAAGGAAGGGTTTCATTGGACACAAACACATTATTATAAGCGGGAGGTACTAATAAAGACATCTTCACAATGTTTGAAGCCAACTTTTAATATCAAAAGTAGTCGAATCTTCCTTTTTGTGAAGCTAGCATAACCATTAGCCATTTAATTTACTCAGCTAACTAGCCCATGCAGCCAGGCAGTCAAAGAAAAAGATAAGACATACAAAGCCTGGCATGACTGGGGGAAATGGATGCTTTTTCACAGAATTCACATAAATGGTTCATCAGAATATGTGATCTTCTTGGTTGTAGGACATGTCTGACTCCACGATGCCAATACTTTCATAACTGTAGTCTCTATCATTTGAGGTCACATCACTTTTGCTCTTCTTTCTTTTCAGTGACTTTCCTCCCTGCAGGTCCCACGGCTCAAACACGGCAGAACTCACAGGGTTAAGTCCTTTGGCAAATGGAACCTCAGCCCCACCTGGGTCAGCTGAATCTGAATGATTGGCGGGGGGCAGAAGTCGGTCACTCCGTAGTCTCTTTCTCATTTCTTCTTCTTTTGTCTGAAAGGCAGTATTGAAGAATGAAAAAAAGTCCAAATAATGTTCTCTATGTTTTCATTAATATTGCCTGTGGTTAATGTGTATGGCTTCCCAATTTCATTATTTAGTCATTTAACAAACCTACGTTAAGGAATTCCTGTTGAAGAAGACAGACACACTCCCTACCCTCATGCAGCTCCTAGTCTAGTTGGAAAGGCCCAGGAGAGAGATGGCAATGAAGACTGTGGGAGGGATATGAGGGCCACTTGTGCAGCGGCTGCAGGAGGTCTGTGATGGTCTGTCAGGCCTCCTCTCACCTCCCATCCTCCATCCCCACACGTCCCCTCACCCCTAGCCCCAACTAAAGTTTTTCTTTTTTCATATGAAGAAATGTCCGCACTTAGTTCTGGGAATTGGATATTGCTTGCTTAGGCTATATTGATGAAACTAATTCAACCATTTTCAAGATATTACCTTATCCCTTCACCATACACATGAAAAAAATTAAGCATACAGCGTAAGAAGCATACAGATAATGAAGATAATACAAATCCACACAATTTGTCTAAACGCTGCTGAAAGGGAAGGCTCATCTCAGCAGGCAGCGCCGCCCCGCCCCCGCCCAGTACCTTCCGGCGCTCGGCCACCGCCTGCATCTTCTCCTCTATGTCCTTCATGGTGAAATCTGTTACTTCCTTTTTGACCTTGAGTTTTTTCAGCCTGGCTGGTGGCTTTCTCAGTGGCTTCTCAGTCATGTTCACCTGGAGGAAGACACGTTTTAAAACGGGGAACAAATGTACTCATTGGCAAAGAGAGGCCAAAGGTAAAATAAACACAGTTAAAATGTAAAACCTAAAACTCTAAACTTTACAGTGTCCAATTTAAAAAACAACATGAAAACTGGTAACAACAGAACTGAGTCCTAAAGAAAAAAAAATCTATTGGTGCCTAGAAAAAAACAACAGGTTATTACCAAAAAACATGAAAGAATGCACTAATGTCCTGGAATTGGGTGAGGACTCAGGAGAAGGAAAAAAAAAAACTTGAGAACAAACACAAGATAGAAATAGGTGGTGGATGAGTGATGAATTTGTGATGCAAGGTATAAAGTTAAACCTGATGATTTTATAATATGCCACAAACTACAAATGACTTTCCTTTGGGATGGAGATGAGTTCCCAGCACTTCTGGTCATGGGGAGGGGAGAATTAACGATTACTGGGCAGCAACCCTGTGCTGGACTTTGCTGTTGGTACATCGACAGCAGAAAAAACCATCCATTTCATATGAATGACAAAACTTTAAACAGTTCAAAGCAGTAATAATGGCTTTCCAATGATAATTTCTAGTTTCAAAAAAAGTAGCATTGTTGTAAAGCAGTGGTTCTCAACCTTCCTAATGCCGCGACCCTTTAATACAGTTCCTCATGTTGTGGTGACCCCAACCATAAAATTATTTTCATTGCTACTTCATAACTGTAATTTTGCTACTGTTATGTATCGTAAGTATCTGATATGCAGGATGTATTTTCATTGTTACAAATTGAACATAATTAAAGCATAGTGATTAATCACAAAAACAATATGTAATTATATATATGTTTTCCGACGGTCTTAGGCTATCCCTGTGAAAGGGTCGTTCGACCCCCAAAGGGGTCGCTACCCACAGGTTGAGAACCGCTGTTATAAAGGGTTTATAGAGAAAGTTTTCACATTTATTCTTTTAAATACTGGGTTAAAATAACATACATTAATTATAAAAAATTAAAATGATACATAAATAATCTCCTAATACTCTGTTTGGCATGTGGTCTCTGATCATGACCACTTTAAATTACATCTGTAATTTTTAGTCAACCATAAATGGGATTATACGACAGACATTGCTCTGCAATTCGCTTTCCTCACTTTATATGGATGTCTTTTTAGCTCACTATACATGGATTTATTACGACTGGGGGAGGTCTTAATGAACTCCAAGGCTTCATTATAAAGTGAACTGAATAGATAATTTCTCTAAAGATGTTTAAAGACAAAAGAGATATTGATATCCATTGTAATATCTAAAAGACTGTCTTGTCAGACTGCAATACTGTAAATACAGAGAAAATAAATCAAAGAGAGACAATTTAGCATAGCAGAAAAGGCAACAGAAAGACCTGGGTTTGAATCCTGGCTCAGCCATGGTGTGGCTTGGCATTAAATTCCCTAATACTTGTCTTCCTCATTTGTAAAATAGGTTTAATAATACTTTTTCATGGGATTATTTTTTTAAACGGGGAGGAGAAGTAGATCTTAGCCACTCAGTAAATGGAAATTATTTTTGCATGGCCAGGGTTGCTCAGTGGTTGAGTGTTAACCTATGAATCAGGAGGTCACAGTTCGATTCCTGGTCAGGGAATATGCCCCAGTGTGGGGCATGCAGGAGGCCGCCGATCAGTGATTCTCTCTCATCATTGATGTTTCTATCTCTCTCCCTTTCAGAAATCAATAAAAAAATATTTTTAACAAGTGCAAATTACTTTTCATTTGGTGAAAGCAGTGATTTTTTTTTCAATTAACCACATGGGATCATAACCAAGATATAACATTTGTTACAAAAGGGAGGAATGAGAGTTGGAATCGCAGGGCCAACAGGCACGGGGCTGGGCGTTAGCCTCTGGCCTGCCTACCACTCATACTTACTCTGTAACCTGAGACAGGGCACCTTTGCTCTATGCGCTCAGTTTTCTCAAATGTAAAAATAACGAGGGGACTGGGATGGCTAAGCTTCCTGCAGCCTTAAGATCTGTGATTCTCAGAAAGCCTTTTAAAGGGGAAATATTTGTCGAAGTTTTGGTTCAGTAACAGCCTTGAGGTAGTTTTATGTGGTGAGTTGTTCATTATAAATAACTGGGATGGTCCTAGCTGGCTTGCTCAGTGCTTAGAGCATTGGCCTGTGGACTGAGGGTCGAGGGTTCGATTCCAGTCAAGGGCACATACCTCAGTCCCCCTCGTGCGGGAGACAACCAGTCAATGTGTCTCTCTCACATTGACATCTCTCTCTCTCTTTAAAGACAATAAAAATGTATTTTTTTGAGAAAAAAAATACCTATAGAGGTTACTAGTCCCATAATTTTAAGAACATCCCTGGAGGACTGCCATGCCCTAAGATGCTGTGATAAGATTTGGGTCTTTTTTCCAGCCAATCTAACTGTATAATATTACCTCTTGCCTCCACTGTGTATTCCTCAGAGCTTCCTTAATTAACTATTGACCTACAGATGAACCCACCTTGGCTATGGCCCATACTGGAGCCTTGTGCATAAAATAGGACAGAGCTTCTGGGAAGAGATGTATCATTTCTACTCTGTCACTGCTAGACCTCCTGGGGAAGGTCAGTTTGAGCGTTAACTGGCATTATTGGTCTTTACCCAGTGACTTCCTCCTCAACAAACTCCCCCTGAGGTTCAGCAAATAATGTTAGAGACTCTGATGCAATGTGGACAAACACCCTAACTGCACCGAAGGTTACCAAGTACAGAAGTTGCTGAGAAGGGAATAAACTCTGACCAGAGACAGGAGGAGTCAATAGAAAATTCAGAATCTTATGTAGGGAGACTCAGGATGCCCTAAGAGATAGGGAGAAATAAGTTTGGGATGAAAGACACTTAAAGCAGTTAATACCTATGCGGATAAATGAGAACCAATCACATCTCGCTAAAGAGATCCATCCCAATCCATACACATCTATGATAATAAAAGTGTAATATGCTAATTAGACCAGATGTCCTTCTGGACATCCTTCTGGATGACCTTCCAGATGAAGCCAGGGCTGCAAGGGAAGCCCAGGTCCTGGGTGCCAGAGGGAAGCTGGTGCTGGCAGCTGGACAAAGGAAGACCTATTCTTGCATAAATTTTGTGCATTGGGCCTCTAGTATTTACATGTGTGCAGAACACCAATGCAAATAATACAGCCAGTTATCTCTCATTAGAATGTTTTAAAATATACTGATTCACTTAGTCTGATATTTAGCTTCTAAATATTATATTTCTTACATATCATTGTATTTTCTCTGAGTGTACATAACATCTATTAGTATGAATATGCCTGAAAGCAGGTTATCCAGAGGGCATTATGGAATTGCTATAGTAGTTGCCAACAAGCAAAAAATGAAATTAGGAGAAAAAAAAGGGCAAAAGGGGGCTCTGTGGTGGCCTTCTGGGGAGAGTCTGGCTCACAGGGGAGTCCCCTGATTCAGAAGATGAACGAAGGACCCTCACTTTTCAGTATCTTTTATTATATGTTACTCTAAATGATAACTGAATTAAAGAGAACCTGGCTATGTCTAAAATGCCCTTGTATTTAAGTATACTATTGGTGTACATAAGTCTTGTTTCTAAAGTATTCTCATATCTATTACTCTTTTCCCCCAACATATTTAAAATGTTTTTTTTAGGCAATAAAAAAATAGTGTTTACATGTCTGACTGGACTTATCACATTGCCGTAACGGAAGACATTAGCATCCCCTTTTGACCATCTTTTTGTTTCCCTTCTCTCTGGTTTGTTTTTTAGCCAATTTTTATCATTTGTTTTCCCCCCTCCCTAAAAATGTTATTAAATATTAGATAGTCAAAAGTATTAGCTATCTAATAATATCTCCATTCTTAATATGGGTCCCTTTTTGTCCTTCAAGTTTAATTCTCATCTTTTCACAGTGGCTTTATACCTTTCCTTAAAATATGCAGGGCACCTGGTGTCTGACACACTTCTGTTCTCAACTATACATGAATTGGAGATTTTACCTTGACAATGAGTGATCATATCTCTCCTTCATTTCCTTATGCTTCCTGGGTATAAGCTTAGTGTTATAGCTGCTAATATGTTATATTGTTAGGAATTCTTCAGAATTCTCTTCACAGCAACTGAGGGGTTTCAATTTCAAAAGCTTCAACCCTTGCCAGCTCTGGGATGAATTGGAAGGCTGTGTGCATGTTCCTTGACACTGCAGGGCAGTGGTTCTCAGCCTGGGCTGCCCCTGGGAAGCAGCGGGAGCTTCCAGCCCAGCCACTGGTCCCAGGTGGAGCCTGGGCCCTGGGTTTTGGAAGCTTCCTTGGTGGTTCGAGTGTGCAGCCAGGTTAAGGACCACTGCACTAGGCCAGTGATGGCGAACCTATGACGCGCGTGTCATTTTTTGGTTTATTTTTCTTTGTTAAATGGCATTTAAATATATAAAATAAATATCAAAAATATAAGTCTTCGTTTTACTATGGTTGCAAATATCAAAACATGTCTCTATGTGACATGGCACCAGAGTTAAGTTAGGGTTTTTCAAAATGCTGACACGCCGAGCTCAAAAGGTTCACCATCACTGCACTAGGCAGTAAAAGGCACCACTATGGATTACTGCCGGCCTGTTTAAATCCTAGGCCAGGGCATCTTGGCCAATTCCAAAGTAAAAACAAAACACTCCCCCGCCCCCCCAAAAAACAACCAACACAAACAAACACAAAAGAGCTGTATTAGTCTTACCTGCCTCTGCAATCCCATCACATTTAAATCCTGAAAACACGCCAGCTATGCTGCTGACAACCATTCCATCGCTATAGAATATGAAAACAGCCTTCATCTTCGGCTCACTTAATGATGTTATTGCAAGTCAAGCCCACGGTTTTCTTTTTTTAAAAAAGAGACATCTCTTTCATGATGTAGCTCATGTTAATTAACCCTGTTGGTGCCTTTGCAAGGTCTGAGTCCAAACTCATTCATCTCTGGCGTTTGAATCACTGGAAGATGTTTCAATGCTATTAACATCAAGGTTCCAGAGCATTCCCCTTAAGAAGGCAACACTTAGCTACTCAACATTTCCACAGTCTATCCGCCTCCAGATTGCTCTCCTGTCTTTTTCTTTTGACACACCTTCATTTTTTCTCACCCCCAACCCTCAAGTCTACAGATAGGAAAAAATCTGTCCTCTCTCTTTCTGTATTAAAGATGCATTGTATTTGGGACTTTCAAACAAGGTACTCCAAAATGCCTTGTATCATGCCACTATACAAATATAAATTGTCATTATGTTGACATTATCTTTTCCATTTTATGGTGCATTTTTACCTTTCCCTTTCCTCACATCCTCTTGTTATTGGCAGCCTGATAATATCATTTACAAGGTTTAGCAATCTCCTCAGCCCCCCCAGCCCCCACCCACCTCCAAATACTTTCTACAGGGTTTATTTTCCTTCTTCAAAAGAAAATGCCACTTTAGATTTTATTCATGAATACTCAGCATTTCTAAACAGAAGAGAAAATTGCCTTTATTCAAACACTTAGTGACTTGGTCTAGGTGCAAACTCTATTTAAATAATGTATCTTTTTATTCTCAGCTGACTGTTCTCCCTACAACACAAGCCATTGATATGATTTCTGGGCTCTATCGCCACCATTTCTGTCTCTTTTTTTCTTTCCCATCCACTCCCCCCCCCCCCCGCTTTCTTCTCTCCCTTACCTTCTATC